TATGCCCAGCTAATTTTTGCATTTTTAGTAGAGACGGGGTTTCACCATGTTGTCCAGGCTGGTCTCGATCTCTTGACCTCGTGATTCGCCCACCTCGGCCTTCCAAAGTTCTGGGATTACAGGCGTGAGCCACCGCGCCTGGCCAACCATCTTGTTTTCTATATATGGATGTGCACATAAATATACCAAGGGTTTGACATGTTCAATGTATATTTGAAAGACAGAGTGTCCGTATTGTCCTTAGCATGAGGAATCTGTATACATGAGATGTGGCCCATGTAAATGAAATCCCCCAACACCTTCTCTTTAAAGACAAGGGTATTTCTTGTGTTCAAATAAAGCTATGAAGACAATCTCCAAAGAAGCTTTTGGTGGGATCAACAGCTGGAAATTGAATAGAAAAATATCTCATGCTGCTTTATAGAATTTTCAAAAGGTTTGTACCATACAAACCAAATTTCTCAAGCTTCACATTTGGATGTATTATCTTGTTTAATTTCTCTAAAAAGAAAGCAAACACTATTGATAGATTAATAATGATACATTAATCTCAGAGAATTTTTCCTTAAAAGAGGCAAAGACATGCTTATTTAGAGCTCTTGCCTTCCTTCACCTCAGTTGAGCTGATACTTTAAGGCGTTGATTGAGAAGATTACGTGACATTTTCCCTTTTTATTTTGACCTGTATGAAATTAAAAATATGTTTTATTTGTTCAGTTCTGTTTCTTAGATATTATATTCTTATGTTAAAATGATTATCTCAACATAAAACAACCTAATGTTGTAAGATAATTAAAATAACAAAAACAATTATATTTATTCAATATCAAAATCTGTATTTTGAAAAATTTCCTGAAGTACTGATTACATTTCCAGCCTTCATTTACTTGTTTCTTGTGTTTGAATTGTAAGCAATATACATTTTATGTGATTTAAAACAATATTCTGGGCCAGGCACAGTGGCTCATGCCTCTAATCCCAGCACTTTGGGAGGCCAAGGAGGGTGATGCAGGAGGTCAGGAGTTCAAGAACAGCCTGGCCAAGATGGTGAAACCCCATGTATACCAAAAATACAAAAATTAGCTGGGCGTGGTGGCAGGTGCCTGTAATTCCAGCTATTTGGGAGGCTGAAGCAGAGAACTCCTTGAACCCAGGAGGCAGAGTTTGCAGCACGGCACACCAGCCTGGGCAACAGAGCCAGACTTCATCTCGAAAGAAAAAAGAAGAAAGAAAAAATTCTGAAAAAAAAGTTTCATTTGATAAAACCTTTCTTTTACCATTGCTCAATTTTTGAGTATTTAAAAAATATACATAAATAGATGTTTTCAATTTAATATATGGTTGAATTGTGATTTCTTTTATTCAGTAATAATTTGCCAAAGACAGTCCAATTTTATTATGGATTCCAGACAAAATACAAGCATTTTATGAGTTGAAATTCTATAAAAACTTACAACAGGAAAACAAAGTAATTTTCACTGAGACTCTTTAGAGCTTCCTGTAATACAGTCCAAATTTAATCATTATTAATAAACATCCAAAGTTGACAAAAAGTTAAAGCAGTTTGAGTCTATGATCAATCTTTCCTGCATTTAATATTGATACCTTTAATTATAATGTCAGCATCCCAAAATGAATAGGTTTATTTCCCTTAGGATCAAACCAATGTTTTTCATTTTTTAATGATGCATTATTTTACAACAAGGATATTGTAGCCCTATTTTTTGAAATGGATAAACTATATTAGCATGCACCATCAATAAGTGAGGCTGAAGGGAAAATATGAAATAACACTAAGATATGAGACTACATACATTATACACACAACTGTTGTGAGGAGTTCCCAGAGCAAATTATTTAATTTAGTTCCATATGCCCAGAACCAAAGGAATAATCTTCAAAATAAAAGATAATGATGCATAACTCCTTATATTTGTTTAGCTTGGCTATCAATATTCTTAACATGTTTTATTTTTAATCACTGCACATAATTTTAGATACATAAACCTGTTAGTTTCCTGGTATATATTTTGTCTTAAATTTCTCATGGGTAACTGAAGTTGTTTACAAATAAATCAAAGTACACATATCGAACTTGAAAATTTCATTGTTTGTGCAATTTAATAGGAAACTTTAAAATGATAAAGTAATCAGAAAGGGTGAATATAAGACATAATAAAACAATTCAGTAATAAATAATAGTAAAGGACAATAGCTGTTGGAGTTAAATACCCTGATATCTGATATTGTTTGGCTCTGTGTCCCCACCCAAATCTCATCTTCAATTGCAGCTCCCATAATTCCCACATTTTGTGGGAGGGACCCAGTGGAAGATAATTGAATCATGGGGGCAGTTTCCCCCATACGGTTCTCATGGTAGTGAATAAGTCTCACAAGATCTGACAGTTTTATAGGGGGTTTCCGCTTTTGCTTCTCTCTCATTCTTTCTTGCCAGCACCACGTAAGAAATGCATTTCACCTTCCACCTTCCCCGCCACATGGAACTGTGAGTCCATTAAACCTATTTTTCTTCCCAGTCTCAGATATGTCTTCATCAACAGCATGAAAATGAACTAACACAGTAAATTAGTATCAGTAGAGTGGGGCGCTGCTGTAAAGCAGCTTCCACTGCTGGACTTAGGGAACACGGTGGCACCTGGGAGATTGGAGATGCTAAGAACCACAGAGCCCCAAAGAGAGTGTCACAGCCTTGACTCAGGGAGCTCCTAAGTCTGGGCTTCCCAAAGGGCTGCAGCTCTTCTCTCCTTTTGTCTTTCTCATCACCCACAACGTGACAAGCGATGGGGGGTGTTTCAATACTGTTTGTGTTACAGCTCTTTCAGTCCCACCATTAGGCAGGTGCCAAGTTGTTGTCCTACTTCCAGGAAGAATGAGGTATGCAGACAAATGGAGGCGGAGCAATGTGAAGAGCTGTTTTATTGAGCAACAGTACAGCTCTCAGATCCTAAATGGATAGCTCCTTTCCATAGGCAGGTTGTCCCCATAAGTGCAGCTCTCAGCAGAAAGGAGACCTAGAGTTGGCAGCTCCTATCTGCAGGCAGGTCATCCCTGTGTCTTTGCAGCCTCACTGAAAAAGAAACCCAGAATGGATAGCTCCTATCTGCTGGCAGGTCATCCTGTCATCTGCCTGAGTCTGGGGTTTTAATAGGTTTCAGAGGGGAGGAAGTGCATGTTGATTTGTCAATGGGTGGCCATGGGTGGGCCCAGAAAAAGCACCATAAGTTCTCGCTCTGGTCCATGGAACCGGCATCCTGGCCCCCAGGCTTCAGGCCATTCTTGGCTTTTAGCAGGGGTTTCACCAAAGACCCACTCCATTCCATAGAGGAGCCTCTGTGCCTCCTGCCTCCTTCAACCTCCTGTCCATGGCACCCACAGGGCCTAGGTTGTTTGTTCCAAGAGGCATCTGCAGGCCTGTGACAAGCTGCCCTCAGGCCCCTCTCAGTCTCCCTCCTGTGCTCTTTAGGGCCCAAAGTCTGGAGGGGCTGAGGCAGCAGGCAGCTGGTTTGTCAATGCCACTATAAGAGTGCTCACACTCAGCCAGGTTGTGACAGCACCAAGACTTGACCACAACTTTGCTCTGAAATTGGAGTGGGCACTAGGAGTGGGGAGAGGCCAGGCAGTGGGAGCAGGCACTCCTGAGCCTCTAGGGGTAGGAGGGGGTGTGCTTCCTAGGCCCCCTGCTGAGAGGGCAGGGATCCCTAGGTTTGCAGCTGTGGCTGTGCAGCTGCAGCTGTGCCCAGGAGGTTGGGGCACCCACCCCTCTGACTCAGAATGGGGCAGGGCTCCTGCTTGTTCCCGGCTCTCACTGGCTCCATGGAGCATGCAGCTCTGGTCGCACCTCCACCACTGCAGCCGGAATCATGGCAATGGCAGCTCCAGATGGGCCACCATCAGTCCATACAACATTGCTTTATGTAACTTTTCTAAATCTTAAAATCCATTTCAGTTTTAAGGAGCAGTTTGTAATTTCCTTTACATAAATTTGCTTATTTTACTTGATGAGACTGTAATCTCCCTATAAATTAGGACTATGGACTACGCCTATTATAATAACCATTTTATTTTCGTTGATTAGCAGAGTATCTAACACTGAAAAAAATCATTGAACAAACATTAAATCAAAAGTTAATTAATGGGTACTCCTGAGATCATCTAAGAATCGATTGGAATTG